GTCTCTTAAAATAAAATGGATCTCAGGATGGATTTCCACTCAGTCTGCCAAAACCACATTTACCCACCAGGTCTGTTCCCCGCTCAGCCCAAGTTTACCAACAATCCTCATGGCTCAAAAAAGCCAAGAGGAATAAGTAACGAAATTGCACTTATGTGAACTATGGCTACAAGCGTGTGGGGCACACTCCACAGAGGAATAAGTGGGAAATTCATGCAGTGTGGGGGAAAGAGGCACAATCATCCACATTCACAGGGGGAACAAGCAAGCTTTCCAGATCAACTGGCTCCTTCCTGATGAGAGCAGGACACAAGCCAGACATGTCACTCTCGCTTTCTGCCTCTTTTATCTCTCGCCACAACTAGGGACTGCAGAGAGGAGATTGTTCTGGCTGGAAGCGAAGGGACACAGGTGGTACCAGCAGCTGCAAGCTCTTTAGCTCTCATTGGCTCCACTTATTAGAACATGCATTGTATGTTTAATACATTGCTTCTCATTGTGTGGGAGCAAGAGTTGGAGGCTGGTGGTGCTGCACCACGGTCTCTTGTATTGCTGGGGAGGGAAGGCAAGGTGGAGGCTGCTCCTAGTTAGAGATAATTAGAAGCTAGGGCTCCTGAAGAGAATTTGGTAACTCCACAAGAAAACCAGCTGTTCTTGATTACAGTGATATATTAGTCACTCTAAGGTAGCTGTGCCAGTCAGCATTTTGCGAACAACAAATAAATGCAGAAATATTTTCAAGGCATAGAACTTTGTGGGGACAAAGTTCAATGCATGGCTTACCTCTGAGATAGTCTGATTTGTTTGTTTATTTGTTTTTAAATTGCTGACTATAAAGAACAAAGGATTTGGGGAGGTCTGAGTCAGGTATCTTCGTTTTATTTGCTTTTTACATCTAGGGATCACCAGACTTTTAGTTTTGCCAAACTCACTCTGTTTGTGATAATGCTGTTCACCTATAACACATATGGGGGAGGTTCTACCAGGAACAGTATGATTTGATTCAGTTTCAGTTATCATATGCTCTGATTATTAAATAAAATTTTATGAACAGCTACTGACACCTGTGGGAAACTGTTTTTCATGCTGTTGATTTATGGAAATATTATGTAGAAAATATTGTTTGCTCCTTATAATCTTAAATCCAGTGGATCATGATCTGTTACTTTTTTCAAGGTTTTAAAATAAGAATCTGTGTTACTGATGGTCTAGTACTTCGGAGCATGCAATTATTGAAATGGGTTTTCAGAGAAAATAATAACAAAATCTGGAAAAAAATAGAGAGGAGGGCAGAAACATACAGCACAGGTTTATCAACATAGATTGTTACCTGTAGTGAGTTTCTGCGGCTGGGTTTTGGTAGCAGGGAGGGGGGACTACAGGAGTGGATTCTGTTAGAAGTGTTCTAGAATCTTCCCCCATCCAGTGGAGCCAATGCCAGATGGCTGCAGGATGGACTTCCAGCCACTGGCCAAGGCCAAGCCAGTCAGGAGTGATAGTAACGCCTCTGTGATAACATATTTAAGAACAGAAGGTATTGTGCAGAAAGAATTCCAGCCAGGGAAGAGTGGAGTGGAGTGAGAACATGGGAACAACAAAGTAGACACCAAGGTCAGTGCAGAAGGAGGGGCAGGAGGTGCTCCAGGTGCCGGAGCTGAGGCCCCTGCAGCCCGTGGTGCAGACCATGGTGGAGCAGCTGTGCCCCTGCAGCCCATGGAGGACTCTCGGGGAGCAGACACCCACCTGCAGCCCATGGAGAATTCCACGCTGGAGAAGGTGGATGCATGAAGGAGGCTGTGACCCTGTGGGAGGCCCAAGATGGAGCAGGGTCCTGCTGGAGACCTGCAGCCCATGGGGAGGGAAGCCCACGCTGCAGCATGTTTTTCCCGAATAGGACTCGTGGCCCCTGTGGGGGACCCACATTGGTACAGCTCATTTGTGAAGCACTGCACCCCATGGAGCAGCTATCCATGAGACAGCAGTTTGGAAAGAACTGCTGCCTGAGGGATGGACTCACGCCGGAGAGGTCCATCAAGGACCAGCTGTTAACTCATGAATCCTTAGCTATTTTTTTTCTCTCCTCTGTCCAGTTGCAGAGGGAGACTGAGAGAGCGGTTTTAGTGGGTACCTGGCATCTGGCCAGGGTCAACCCACTACAGTTACCACACTAAACTGATACTACTATTTGGTAAGATTTTCTTAGGCAAATGAAATGCAGAAGATTTTGTCTAACTGGACTTGCATGAAGCACTGATATCACAGGGGTGGAAAATTACTGAGGTACAAAGAGAGAATTTGATCAAGAAATTTGAAGTGGGGTAGAATGTGACAACACCTTGTGCTGAAAGAATAGGTATTGCAGTTGTAGGTCCCTGCAAGGCTCACTCTTAGGGCAGGTTTTACTTAGTACTTTCATGATTGACCAAGTCACATAAAGCAGGAGAGTGCTAATGAAATTGTTGAGGTTTTCCTAACCTTGGGAAAACTTGTCAAGGCTGAGGAGATATGTAGGATACACACCAGAAAGGCAGTATAGACGGGAGTCTTAATCAATGGAGGGAGAATACTATGCAGGATATGAGCAGTAGCATGAAGTGCTTGGTCATTCACCCAGGAAGCAACAAAAATTTCAGATGCTTTTAGCTCCTCGCATAGAAATAACAAAGAAGAGAAAGAGTTGGGTGTATAATTAGTCAATCACATTGATAGCTAAGACCCATCAGGCTGATCTTGTGGAAAAGGCAAATGCAGGCCCAGGATGTATTGACAGCTGAATATAATCCAGAATTCTCAGTAGAAAATCCATACCTATGTCAAATAGCTGAAAATAATTCTGATCTATAGAAGCATGTTAAGCTTTGCTGACAAGATGAAATAGCCCCCAAGTTTCTGAAAAACTTGAAAACAGGTACTCAAGTACCTGTCGAAATAATCAAGAACAATTTATTTGGCTCATTCTCCAGATAGCCAGATTTTACTTATACTTTTGCTGTTCTGTTAAACCTAAATATAGCCTTAAACAAGTCTTCATTCATGTTGCATAATGACTATGATTTTCCCCCAAACTTCTTTCCCACTGTCTCCCCAAGCTCTTTGTGTGTCTTAACTGGTGGGGGAAACAGCTGGACAGTTGTAAGGAGGAAAGATACTCACAGATGACAAGAAGAAACTGTTTTTTTCTATCAGATGAAAATAAATTAGCCAAATGCAGTCAAACTCTTGATGGGGACTGGGAGAGTTTTTGCAATACCACAGCACTTAACTAGCACATAAACAAGACAACACAGATCCCATGAGCTTCTTTAGTCTCCCACACCTCCCACTCCCAATAAAATTGCTTCAGGACTATACAGCTTATTTTATTTTTGAATGCAATGTGCAGTTGTGTAATCCACTGTAGCACAGCTAACAGTCCTGAGATCGAATCAATGTCTTTCTCTAGGAGACGTTGAGGAAACAGTATTCGAAAACTTACAGTTTACATGAAACAGTCACCACTGTGATCCACTTCTACTGCATTGTTTTATCTTCAGCAAAGTATTTTTCTGGTTCGCTAAACTCTGAAATATATTAAAATGTATGCTGTCAGGTTAGTGTACTTTAAGTCCAGTGGAAACCAAAATAGTCCTATATAAGTTGCACCTAGTTTCTCTGGATCGCTACTAGGTTTTGTTTGTGGGTTTTTGTTTGTTTAGTACTGTTACCATACTGACCAAGAAGATAAAAAATCTCATTTACTAACCAGCTTTTACATTGTGTCTGTTAGCCCTTCCCAAACATGAGACTACAGTAGGAAAAAAAAAGGAGGCATGGAATACTTTAACTTCTTACCCAGTGTCAATGGATCATACAGTCTCTAGAACCAAGCTTTCCATGTGCAGATTAACATTTCCTGAGACATTTAGTCAAGTAATTCTGAACACAGCTTGATTACTAGATGTAATCAAGGCCAGGCTTGCTGTTTTGGACCAGTTTTTTCCAGCCAGAGTAAGCACTGTTATTACCAAGTCTTGCTTTTCCTGGTTTTCATCTTGTTTACAGGCTGGAAAAACAGCCTGTCATAAGCAACTGAGGGAAAACTAAGCTAAGTAGAAACTTGTCATGGATTTGGCCTCATTTCACTCACACCCTTTCCCAATATTGCAAATAGACTCCTGAGAGCAAGCATCAATGCCATGCAAATCTAACTGGAAAAGTAATAAACAGAAACCTATTTTGGATTGTTTTCTTGTTGCTTATAACCAAGAAAGCCACATAGAAATTGAATCCATTTCACTGAATCTGTTTACATGTTCAGAAACAGAAAATTAGGAAAAAATAAAAGTAAAATAATGCATTTTCTCATGCCCTTGATATTCATATTTCCTGTCATATATGTCAGTCATTAAAGAAACATTATCTGGTATCTGTCTGTAACTTCTCTGCATTTCCCTGTATCCTATTCCTGTGCTATTTTATTCCTATGGAAGATAAAAAATTAGCAGTCTGTAGATCAAGTAATTATAATCGTGAGGCCACAGGTTGATAGGGCCTATGGAGAAATGTCTACCTTTAAAAATGTAAGTATAATTACTACATTATGCCTTGGAATAAATGGGAGAGAGGGGGAGCTGTGGACTTCTGTCATGGCTATTGAATCAAAATGAGGAGGAAAGGAAAAATCACTGGTTAGGGCAGAAAAAGACAGGTTTATAATAACTTTGGGCCAGATCCTTGAACAGTTTTTATTCATTACCTATCTCCTTTAATATTACTGCTAGTGTTTCTGTTTTGCAGAGTTCTGCAAGATGTGCCAGGCTAACTGATTTTGCATCTCCAAGTCATTCCCAGTTAAGAAGAACATTATCTGTGCTGCTGTGTAATAGTGCAGTTGCTTGCTAGTGTAATAGTGCAGATATGAACAAGTTAGCACTGGGAGGAAAGCTTGTCTCTCCCACCCCCTTGCTCCACAGCTGGCTAGAACCTCTCCAGGTCTGAGAAAGAGGCTTACATTTGATCCCCAAAAGTCCAGTGTGTAAAGACAGAATAGTTGACCATCTTTTCTCTGTAGATGTAGTTGTCCATTCTAACTTTCCTTATGCATATGAAGCCCTAATTCTTCTGTTTTCTCTAGGAAGGAATAGAGGATATTTTGCATGAAGGTAGTCCGTTGGGAACTCAACACTTCTTTTTTCTCCACCTGGGGGGTGACTTCCTTGAATGTTACTTAATCCCAATACATGACTGTGTTAGGGGTATATATGTCCCTAAATATCCTTAATATTTACATATAAATATGTAAAATGCGTATAGAGGTTTCCTCGCTATAGATGCTATTGCACTTGGGAACTTGCTAAAACACAGTTGACAATTTCTTGCCATATTTTCAGGCTTCAAATGAACCCTTTGGAAACCTGCACCTTTGCAAAGGTATCCTCACTTGAAAATGACACCTTCGACATCTCCAGCCTTGGCTGCCTGCTCAGAAGCAAGGAAGACCAAGCAGACTGGGGAAAAGAGAGTCAGTGGAGCAAATGAAGAAAAGGGTAAACCTGGAATAAATGCCCATAGACACGAATGCAACTTGAGCTTCTCCTAAATCATGGCAGGAAGACGGTTATCCTATGGTTATAAGTATAAAAATACCATAATTTGGGAAATACAGTGATGCTAGCTACTGGAAGTAGGGAAGAGAATTTGCATGATGTCATACTAGAAATACTTTCTGCTGCTGTTAATTTACTTCTTTTCCCTTTCTTCTGATTTGTTGGGCAACTATAGACAAGGCTTGTAACATGCCATGGCCTCTGTTGACTCATTAGTGAAGTGGGCATAGTAATGTTACCTACCTCAGAGGTTAAAGATTGAAGCTTAATTAATGCTTTCTTCTATAATCTCTGTTGAAAGATAGTACAATATTGCAATACTCTTACTGTATTATTACAGTTTTTTATTTTTATTATATCTTTCTCATCTTTAGACTTTGTTCTCATTATGCTCTCTTAGTATTTATTTCACAAAAGCAGCTTGAGAACTCTTTCAAAATGGGAGAAGAGAAAGACATGTAGTAATAGAGAGAAAATAACATTACAGTAGAAACACTCACCTGAGGTGAATTCCAGTCAGATATGGACCCTTTCAAGGTGGAGCTTATGTGGGATGTGAGTAGTACATAGCTTCTAGAGATGAAGAAGGATTTATCTCACTGTGCTGCCGGTTTGTGCAATCAGAAGACCACAGAGTGTGCCATAAATTAAAATCTCAACTTTGTCTTGGATGTAAATGCTCAAACGAAAGTTTGTCTTTGGATACTCCCAAAAATCCCAAGCCACTGATGTTCCCAGTCAGTATTTTGAGATCTGCACTCATTTTTGTCTTCATTACTTGGAACAGAGTGCAGAGCAACAAAGAAATTTATGAAACATTTGCAGGAGAAAACAAAGGATGTAGTAAGTGGTTGGACTTTGTGGCTGGATGAAATTTTGGATCAGTTTGAGTCTAAGGGACAAATACTGGGCATTTCTTTTAAAATCCGAAAAAGGGAATGGGCTTCATGCCATATGATCATTTTCTTTCCTGATGGGACTGGAGGCCTACCATGCCAGATCAGCTAAATCTGGGCTTGACCAAGCATCTCATTGCCAGAAGCCCTGTTCCTAGCAGCATTGCACACATTTGCTTCTGCCCTTAGGGGAAAAGGTCCATTTCTCCAGCAGGCGTGGAACTATGGGCTGAGTGTAGTGAATGCTGCTGGATGTTAGAGAGAGAGTTACCTACTGCAACTGTGTTTGTGGAGAAAAGTGTCCAAAAGTCTCATTATTCACCCCACAGCTTTGCTTGAGCAGAGGAGTGCTCTGGCCTGCCTGGCACCTGCAGGACAGCAGACTGTAAGACAGGGAAAGTTTGCAATCAGAAGGATCCACTACAAAAAGAGAAAGTGATATGGGAAGTGAAATCCTTCTTGTTCTATTTGGATTAATAAAATTAAATAATTGCTTAAAACCAAGTGTGAAGAAACATTATTATTCTATTACTAGTATGAATATTTATATATTTTAGAAGGTAACTCTGTCTTAGAATTTAGATAGCTTGGATTGGACTGGAAGATTTTGCTCATTAATAAGTGTGAAAGAAATTCAGCTCCCAGATTTTGGACAATATTCTGTCACCAGCAGGAGCAACTTAAATTAAACAAGTGTCTCTTTTTCTGGACCTTTGATTTCTGGAATATTTTTGAAAACTCTTCCTGGCTACTGATGAGGTGTGAGTCAAAATTATAGTATGATTTTGCAGTCCTCAATTGAATTTGCATTGTACAAACACCTTCCTTTGAACTGTGAATTGTGTAAATTTCATGTGAAAGTAACTGAGAGGGAATAAACAGAGAACCCCAAGTGTAATTTTTTCCAGACACTTCTCAGAACATAAATTATCTTAGATAAAGCAGTAAAACCCCCTTACTCTTCCACAGTTAACCTAATATTTGATTTCTGGTAATTATTTCATGGCTAAGGCCCCAATCTGAGACATAGGAAATCTATGTCAAATTTCTGGCCCTGCCACAGACTCCTGTGTAACCTGGGGCAAACCAATTAATACTTCTGTGATTTCTTTCCCTGACTGTAAAATGAAGATGGTTCTGCCTTTGCCTGTCTACAGAAGTGCATTGCCAAGTACCTTTTTCAGCAGAAAAGTAAAATTTTGGAAGGAAGATTACTTCCTTATTCCTTCTGCTCGTCTTCCAGCCCTTTAGCTGTGCTAGTATGTGTTTGCAGGACCCGGGGTGTAGTGGGCTGGGGGGGAGGAAAAAGACATGGGCATTTAACCTGGATCAGATCACTAAATTGAGGGATACTGAACTGAAGGGTGTGTGCTGGGCTTCTGGGGTGAAGAAAGAATGCTTCATCTCAGCATCTTTACTGAGGAAAAGGCTGAATGGAATGGTACCCCACCTTCTAGTTGCACATCAGTCCCACCAGCACAGTTGTTGTTTATATCACAGTAGCTAGACAGCCAAATTGCTATTGGAGTCAAATTGTGACAGACTCTAGAAATGAAACCATTTGTTAAATGACTATTGTCCTCAGCAGCTACTTTAGAATTGGAGATGTTGATCAAAGAAAATATCTCTGTTTTCCGATTGGGACAGTGAATACAGTCCAATGAAGTAATTTGTTGACAGTTGAAACTGCATCAATGCTAAGAACTTAAATCAGTTCCCTGAAATCCCTGCTTAGTGTTTTTCTCAGAGGACTCTCTTTCCTCCCCACCAGCTTGAAGATTGTGCACATAAATTAAATGAATTCAAACTGTACCTTTAGTGGAATTAGTGGGTATTTCTGCCAGGAAAATATGTTTTGGGCAGGACCTCATAGTATCACACAAATGCAAACAGTAATGACACTAGTCCAAATATATGAGGTTATCAGTCAAAGGGAATAAATTTCCCTGATCGATAAAACACAGGAATTGCCATTCTGCAGGCCAACACTGGAGCTTCCAAAAGAGGGCAATAGCCAGAGGTGTAAGTTTATGGGTAGAAATTTGTGGGTTAAGCAGTCAACAGCACCCCTCACCCTAGGGCCCTGTGCTCCAAACCATGTGCCTCTCCCAACATCCCTTCATCCACCAGTCCCTCTTGCTGCCCTGCTTGAGGAAGCTCTATAGATTCTACAGTGGCAGCGATGTCACAACTTCCCGTGGCCTCCCCTTGGTGCTCAAGGCTCCACATTGGTCCAGATAGCAGTTGTAAGATCTTGCAGGTGTGACAGGACCTGCCCTTATCCCCCCTGAGTGTGTCCATACCTTTTCAAAGGTGAGTTGGCAGAGCCCTCTGCGCCAAACAGCTGGGGATCCAAGGAGTGGGCAATGGGCACCCCATTTCAAACAGGCACATGAAGTGCATGGCTTTGCCTGTCATCATTTGTAACTGAAGAAATAACTTTGTCAGTTGATTGCCAACGTAATTACAGAGAGAGTGCATGGCACCTTCTCCCTCAGTGAAACTCTATAACCTACTTGCAGCATTATTAGTATCTGTGTATGGTTGTTCGCTGTCTGCTGGCACAATTATCTTGCTTTAATTTAGGACACTAATGATATTATAAGATAGTTTGATGACAGTGTAATTTCTTTTTATGTTTGTTGTTACTGGATGTATCAGTTGGTTCTGATACCATAAAACACAACATTTCATGTCTTCCCAGGGAGGAGAAAGGAGGAAAAGAGGGCAGTAGCAGGGAGGCAAGTAGAGGAGGAGGGAGAGGAGGAAGAGTAAGTCATTCAGCGCTCGCCTGATATGCTATTTGAAGTGAATGATAATTTCTTAGTACAGCAAAGCTGGCAGCAGTGCTTTTGCTATCAGGGTTTTTACCATGGTTCTCTGCTTATCTCTCAGCATGACCACTGAAATCTGTGAGATCACACTACGAGCCATGGTATCCTGTCAGGTTTGAAATTATTTCCGACAGGCTACAAAAACAATTGGGCCCTCACTTTGCCTGCTTTTACAGTAGTTGAAGTCTAATTTATAAGATAGATCATTCGCCTCACTGGTTCTGTCCTTGATACTTCAAGCAATGGCTGGTGTTGGTGACTTTTGTTTTGTGATTCTTGCATCTTCTATGGATTTTTTCATTTGATTTGTTTAGTTTTTTGTTTTCCAACTCATATCCCTATTTGATAGGCACAACTTCTTTATCCAAATGCATTATTTCCCTGCAAGTAGCTGCTTCACTGTTCATATCAGCTTTGACCTTCACAATACATCACCGCCTGCCTGAGCTTAGATGTATTTAATACTCTCTGGAAAGCTCTTCAGTTAGATTTTAATAGTATTTGTTCTACCTTTGTGCATGAAATAAGAGAAAGCTTGTTTTCCCCTTAGACCACAGGGCAATGCACAGTTGCTGATAGAGACTGTTAAAACATTAGACAGTAGTCATTTAAAGCTACAGAGTTGCTGAGGTCTATTAGACCTGTCTAGTTTTAACAGTCTCTATCAGCAACTGTGCATTGCCCTGTGGTCTAAGGG